TTTAGGATTTGGGGTTTGGGTTTTAGGATTTAAGGTTTAGGGTTCGCCAGCGTAGCTTGGCGCCCTAAGCAATTCCGCTGTGAAGCTCTTTGAAGTCTCTATGAGGGCATTCCTAGGCCCTAAAGCTTTTCGAAAAAATTATGGATTCGATGGTCCTGTCTTGCTCTCAGTCCCAGCTCCCGCAGGCGCCCCAAAACACTGGCGCCCCTAATGCCCAAACATTTGGCGCCCCTGTCTGGGCTCTTGCTGGGCTCTTCCTGGGCTCTGGGCTTTTTTTCGGGGCCCTACTGTGTTTTTGGGGGCTCTTGTGGCCTCTTCTTGTTGCTGGGTTCTTGTGGGGTCTTCAAGGCGCCAGCCCCACACCAGCCACCAGCCAAGTTTTTGGCCAGCCCGCCGAACTGGCTGGGCTGGCTGGGCTAGGCTCGGCTGGGCTGGGCTGGGCTGGGCCTTGGCTGGGTTGGGCTGGGCTGGGTTTGCGTATTTCGATTTACTCCAATTGCAAATTTACTTAAACTGAATTGTGGTTGTTGTTTGCTTTCCTCCAACACCGCCTTCCTTCTCTACTCTTGAAAACCACAACCTGCGCTGGCGCACTTATCGGCGGCCGTTTATACCATTCCTCAGGGCCCTTTGTATTTCTCTTTTTTCAGTATAATGCAACCTGGGTCATAGTTTTGGGGGCCTTAAAAAGTATTTTTGAAGAGATACCTCCATAAGGGAAATGTTGAAGTTTCCCAAAGTGCCGCCTAGTAATATGTCCCCAGTACTATACTCACAGATAGTATACCGCCAGAACGGAAAGGTTCCCATGTTTTTTTTGCTTTCAGAGATCACAGGATGTCTTGCCAGGGTGCAGATTTAGGGGCTCAGGGCCTAGTGCGTGAGGGTTTAAGTTTAGCCGAACCCTAAACCCTGAACCCCTAAACCCTAAACCCTAAACCCTAAACCCTAAACCCTAACCCTAAACCCTAAATCCTAAACTCCTAAACCCTAAACCCGGCTTTTTAGGGGTTTAGGTGGTTTAGGCGGTTTCAGGGTTTGGCATGCGGGCTTTGTTAGGGTTCGATTGAGGTTCCCTAAGGCTTCGAAAACAGGGGCATCAGTAAAGTACAGGTCTGGATAGCGTTGTAGTATCATAGCAGGGGAACTACAATCCCTAAACCCTAAACTAGGATACTATTCCGAACGATTCAGACCTCTATGAATCTACATTATGTTAAGCTTGAGGTTTGGGCTTTCTTCCGCACTCTGCGGAACCTAGCTGCTTGGGGAATTGGCATCTGGGGTTTAGGGTTTAGGGTTGAGGCTTTAGGTGCGTAGGGTTTTAGGAATTTGGCTTTAGGGTTTCTGGGCATGCCGGACCTACACTGCACAAGCAACTGTGGCCTTCGGCCTCTACACGACGGGGATGAAGCTTAGAGAAATCGGAAACCCGAGACACCGAATCCAGCTTCAAAATAAGACTCACTGAACCCCGAGCTACTCCTAAAGCCCACATCCTAAACTTTGAACTTTAAACCTTAAAGCCTCAGTTCTGAATCCTAAACCCCGAGCCACCATGTAGACCGACATGGCATACTCTGAAGCTTCGATGTACTGGATGGCAGAGTTCACCTTGGGGAGGAAGAGGCCCCAATGCTCTTCATCAGTTTGTTTTGTATGTAGGGAATGGTTTAGGGTTCAGGCTTCAAGGAATATCCCGTAATTCCTATAAACTACTTATGCGTCTGGGGTTTAGACGGGGCTTGTGGCTTTAAGGTATGATCCTTGGAGGGCTAGTTTAGGGCTTAAGGCTTGGGTGCTTGTTGATAGTCCTACTTGTTCTGATTGAAGAAATTACGGGGTTTTGTGCTCTCTTTGGCGAGACATGGCGTGGGCCTTTGACTACTTGTACCCTCCCAACAGGAAGGCCAAACCAATACTCACCAACGCACACACTCACCAAGCCCCGAAAGAGCCATCCTAAACCTGGACTGTCTTGCCATAATGCATGCGGCGCCCCAGTTCTCGCATATCCCCACTGTATTGAGCACCTCTCAGCACTTCTAACTCTAGAACAAGCCCCGACACCCCCGGGCGGAGACTTGCCACTTTTGCGCTGTCGGGAGGTTAGACTGTTAGACTGTACAGGGGTGGCACCCCCAGATTAAGCAGGGACTCTTGAATCTGGATTTGGACCCTGATTACACCCCGGCAGGATCCATGTGGTTTATTTACGTGTACTACTGTCAGTATTACAGTACTCAAAAAATGCAAACGTTGCCCAAAAGGGCTGTTGGTCCTTCTTCATAGAATTCCGAACTCTATCCCTAATCAGATTTCGCGCCCTCTCCAGGAAACCGCTACCATCCCTCACAACGCCTGTGCATTTCAAGCCTCGTAGATCTGAGTTTTGTTAACAGAACAACCTCTAAACCCTAAACCCTAAACCCTAAACCCTAAACCCTAAACCCTAAACCGTGGAAAGAAACCAATGAAAGGAATCTTTCGGGTGTTGCCGGGCCACGACATCCTTCAGCTGGCTGCCCAGCCCAGAGTAATCTGAGATGGGGCGGCAAAAAACTTAAGGAAGAGGGGCTGACGTTTTGGGGCTCTGGGTTTAGGGCTTCGGGTTTAGGGTTTTGGGTTTAGGGTTTGGGGTTTAGGGTTTAGGGTTTAGGGCTTGCGGCTTAGGGTTTATGAGGCTTTGATGTAGGGCTTGCAAAGTTCCAGGGCTGTGGAGGCTTTCGGCATGGGGTTCGGGATGGAAAGGTTTAGAGGCCGGGGTGGTAAGGCTTGCTTAAAGGGCTTGGGGCTTCGGAATCATAAGCTCTAGGGGCTTGATGGGTCTTAGGGTTCTTGGGTTCAGGGTTTTGTTTTAGGGTTTAGGGTTTAGGCTTACCAGGTGTTTGAGAGAAGATGGTGGACGAAATCACTCAAGCCTCTGAAAACAGGAGCTCTAAACCCTAAACCCTGAAGGCATTAGACCAGATGACTCATTCTCTGCAAGCCTGCGCCCCTTGACAAAGTCAAAGTCTGGACATCCGGGTGGGGAGGGGCCCGACTCCAAACCGCAACACAGAACTTTCAAGCTTAACCCTCGACCCCAAAACCTAAATCCTAAACCCTAAGCCCCGAGTAGAACCCGAAACCCTGCCACCAGAACCCAAAGATCGCCACAGAACCCTCAAGCCCAAACCCTCCCCGAGCCCAGGACCGCGAAAGTGGATGTTTTAGGGTTTGGGGTTTAGGCTTTAGGGCGTTAGGGTTTTAGGCCTTAGGCTCTAGGATTTCGGGTTGTTTAGGGTTTAGGGTGGGTATGTATGTGGCACCCAGCGCCCAGGAGCTGTAGGCTCTGTAAAAGCCCAGCACAGCCAGACCAAGGATGATCAGTTGCAGAAAGTAAGACAGGATCACCCGG